AAATTCATTTTATTTTTCTATTTTTCATAATGCAAAAGTTAAAGGTTCATGTACAAATGTCTGATTAATTGGTCATAATAATATTACCAGATTTGTTTTTTCGATATATATATGTTGGCTGACAAGTCATTTGTTGTGGTTAGAACACGAAAACTAAATTTTTTTCCAAATAATAACATGCTATTCTAACTTAAAAGCCATAAACATGCTCTCGTGTGTTTTTTTCTTCTTCCTTCTTGTCTTTTCTCTATGTTTCTCCCTTCATTTATTCATTCATTCTCGCCATATTTATATTACTGTACATTTAGATTTTTGATTTTGATTTGTTGTATTTTTTCTTTATTTATCATTGTGTTTCTTCTTCTTCTGTTATTGTAGGTAATATCGGAGTTTTTTTTTTGATAATAACGATAATAAGGAAGATTAAAAATTATTTTATAATGTAAACATACATCACTTTTTTTTCCATGCTTTTAGTTTCCTATGTTTACGTCCTGGTGGTGTGTGTACCCAAGCAGCAGAAAAAAAAATTTTGTTCTTTTTTTCATTTGTCATTTTCAAAGTAATATCTAAACACAATCATTCATAATCAAAAAAAGCTTTGACTTTTTTTGTTCTGTTCTATTATGAAACGCTATTCCCCTCTCCCTCTATACACAGACACACATGATGCACATAAACAACAAAGAAGACTACGCACCACCCACACACTGTCTTTATGACTTAGACGGTTTTTTTTTTTTCTAAACTTTAGATACATGTTCACTCATTTTTCTTCTTTTTTTTTTCTATATTCTTTCACCACTTGTCACCACAATTATCATTTTCTCCCTTCGTTTTTCATCACTGTAGGAGAAAAAGAAAAATCTTCGGTAAGCTCATAAGAGATGATAATACATATCTTTTTCCAAACTGGAATAAGAACAAGTAAACATAATTAAAAGACAGAACATGAAAAAGATAATAAAACATAAAATTTCATTTTATTTTTTAAAATAATATAAAATTATCTATTCAGGTTATCTTAATTAGCAAACGAATCTTTTATAGTGATCGATCTGTGAACTATCATTTTATAGCTGAATTTCTAAACAATTCATCATTATTTCATATATAAGAAGCAGGAATCATAGGTATTCATTGTGTAAAACAGATACATATTTTCTCAAAAACTATCATCTGTGGAGTGCTGGTAAAGTTATAACAAATAAACATGTTTCATCCATCATTGAAATTTAACTAATTACCTAAGAAGTTTATTTAAGGGTGTAAAAGTAATTTTTTAGATTCTGTTATCGATCAGTATTGAATTTCTTTGTGATGTCAAATAATAAAAGTTATATTTTTAATCTTACTTCAAATAATAATGGTCCGAGTACATCATGTGCTAGTAGTGCCGGTCTAGAAGATGAAACATCAGCTTGTTGAATAGCTTCATTTCGACGAGCATCTGAAAAATAAAATATCATATTATTATTATATTTCAACTTTTTAAGAAAACATACTTGATTGAGTTTGAACTATTGTTGTTGATAAAGATGTAGGTGAGAGGGTTGAGATTACTGAATTTAAATTTGTTTTTCCATATGCAACACCTACTTCTTCCATTCACGAAGCAGAGAATACAACCAAATTTAATCACTCTAATATATAAAAATAAACAAAAAAAAAAAAACTGTTTTATATATCAAGTTCAACTAACCTAAAAAAAACAACAACATACGGCGATAGTTGTTAATTAGAAATGTTCAATTTTCATGAAATTAGTGAAAATTTTTAGATGAATATTAGTTATACAAAAATATAAAACATATTTTAATATTTGCTAGCTTAATTTAACAGACAGATTGATAAAATTTTTAACAAAAACAGAATCAAATTCTAACACTTCGTTCAAATTCCACTATTTATCTTAGAGTACTGTAATCCAACCGATTTTGTATAAAAATTATTGTTAAAAAAGAAGGGCTATGATTGAACAATAAATCTGTATCCGTCAGAATGTTAGTCAAGTACCAAGTAGATGGTCATACAATCAATCGTGATCAATCCAATAAATCTTATGATTTCGAAATCTTTTCTTGTTTTTCATCAAATCTTTTACACAACTGTGTTCATTCATTTTGCATAGTTATTTTTCGAAAAACTTTATCATCGTTTTATTATTGAAAATGTTCACTAATCCTTTTGAAGCAGAACATAAATTATAACACTTTTACACTAAAAAGATCACGTTTTGAATAATGTCAATGATTCTATAGTGAATAGATAGCTACTTGGTTAATTAAATATTTTAATTCACTTGTAAAGGAAGTAGTACCTTCAATCAATTCTAGAAATCTTTTTTGTAAACCATTCGTGTTAACTATGCATAATCAACATAGAATGTATCATTATTAGCAAAAGATCAAACTCTTCTTGATATCTTTTCACTAGAATTTTCTGATGTAAAACATTGTTTAATAAAATATTTTATGAACTGAATATTTATAGTCAAATTCGCATGAGCAGAAAAAATACTCACTTCTTCCGATTAATTATTAATTTTACAGTTTTCTTACGCTACTTGCCGCATTCACACCCTATTCTCTTATAATAATCTAGGTTCTTTGTTTTTCAATACAAGCATTAATCGAGATATTCTAATTGCATGATCTTCTAAATAATTTTCTAACTATTTTTTCGTTTCAATTGTTTGAACACTATGTTGTTGTTGTTGTTGTTATAAGTAAAAAATTAAAATAATTTTCATAAGTAATTTAAATAGTTCAATTAGTTTTTTTCTTTTACAAGGTTTACTGATTGAAAACTATACACACTCATACACATTCAATTTTTATTTGATAAAAAATACATATATAAGAAAGTGAAGAAACAAAACAATAATGATAATAGATGAGAGAATATAGTTTAACTCAAAGATGGCGAGACTGTCCAACCGTGTAATATATTCGAGGATGCAACATAACGAAAAAGATACAAAAACCTCTCGTGTACACAAGGTAAATACATTCCCGACGTAAATGAAAAGAAATAGAAAATAAAGACAAAGAACGGTTTTTGTTAACATAGACAGTGAATGTTGAACAAATCGATGATATAGCGTAGTTTTAGTATAAATAGTAGTTAGCAGATATTTAATTATTTTATTAGAGAGAAAAAAAGTTCGCTGGATGTATACAGAAGTGGAGAGTATGAAATTGACGGAGACTAAAAGATAAAAAAATTGTTAACTCAATAAACTACATGCAGTGATTTATCTAGTGGGTGGGTCAGGTGGGCGGTGCCCAGCCGAAATTTCGATTCGTCCACCTGAAAACAAACAGGCGATTTCGTTTTAGTAAAAATGTTTTTAGTCAACAGTCCCTCCGAAAATTTCAACCGCCCACTCGGAAAACGAAACCTAGATAAAACACTGACTAGATGTAATGAGATCTTGTTTCCTCAAGCAGTGTCTAACATAATCTATACATAAATTCGAGAAAATGTACACGTGGCAAAAGAAATTATTTTCTGACTGATAATATTTATCAAGAATTAAAGTTGTCTGCTCAAATGGTTGAAAATAGTCATCATTCAGATTAGGCCTGTGACAGTTACTTTTCAGTTATTGAGAAACTGAAGTTCAACAAATGGTGAATTGGCACAGGCTTAACTCAGATGTATGCGAAAAAATATTAACAAACATTAAGAAAAAATCCGACAAAATTAAAAGTAATTAATTCACCGTATATTTCGATAATGTTTTTCACGACCTATTTTCGTTGAAACAAAATAAACTTAATTATTAATACGGTGCATGTAGTGGAACAAATAATATTTTAAAAATCAATCATAGAAAAAATTTATCAATACATCTCACAATGGTCAATCTTGTTCCCTAGTGAATGTACTTGAGATCAAATACTTAGCTACTTGCAAATTTTCTAAAGTATTTGGTTAAGCATTTTTCAAGCATTTTTAGATTTAATATGTGTCGGATACTTGAAAGAACTTTGGATACCTGCATATATTTCGCAAGTACTTACCAGGTTACCTGCCAAATATTTGATGAAGTACTTATCTAGTACTTATACTTGTTAAATTACTTGATAAGTACCTTTTTTACTTGCAAAAAACTCCAGGTACTCTGGACATTACTTACCAAGTACTTTTTAAGTATTTGGTCTCAACTACATTCACTAGGGTTTATATTAACTCACAGAAAATACCAAATATATTTTATCAGAAAATATTTAACCAACTCAAATGAAGACGTTCAATTAACCACTCATTTTTTCTTTATATTAAATTAATGCTATTTTGAGTATATATCATTATTAGTCAAAGTATAATGTAACAGTTTTCATCACCCACAAAGCTCTTGTAATATAATATCAGAGCATCAAGTGAATTAGTTTTTACCTGTCAAGAATATTCTATTCAATCAACCATTTAGAAGAACACTTTAAAGGGACAGAAGAGAAGACCCGGGTCTTTTATTATGTCATCCCCTTTACTTAGCTAAATTACAAGAAGCAGATAATAATAAAATACAAACAACTTACGTTTACTAAGTGTTTTGTAGTTATTTCACTAGGTCGAAAATTCATAATAACCAATATGAATGAAAAATAATTAGAAAAATACGCGTTAATAGCTTAACAAATAAAATTAAATAAGAATAATCTATTTACTAATAATGGCAACAATGATAATCGTAATTTATAACTATAAACAAATGACATAAAATAATATCGAATGGATATGATCACATGTAACGAAAAGAAAAAAAACAATAAAAAATAAAAAATACAACAAACAAATAAGTGAAAAAATCTTAATATCAATATGCACACACACACAAAATAACTATGAACACAGTCGATAATAACTCATTTAAAATCTAAAGCAAAGTATATAAGCTTATTGTATTGTTACAATAGAAACGAGTCCAAAATGATCATCTTGACGAATAGAAATCATTCTATTCAAAGCTACAGCAACTTGTTCAAGAATAATCAAATTTCCATGCATATATAACGCTATTTAAAGAATATAAACAGTCCAAAAGTGAAAAAACGATTCCGCTGACAAAAAGAGCAATGGTACCTTACTTAATATAGAACAGTATCAAAACAAAAGAGATTCTTATCAAATAATCGTTACATCTAAATGATGACGTAGAATTTCAAAGCACTTGTGCGATACCATTTAGTCGCGATTTCATCTTAAGTTTCTTGAGAATATCTCATTAAGGAATGGAAGATTAAATCATTGAACATTTTGGAAAAAAAAATATCACCTGTAAAACCAGATAAGTTTGATCGCTTATCAGTCATACAACATAAACGAATATCTTGAAATATCGCATGTTTTTAATACTCAAATTTTTTTTTTCAAAAGACTCCAGATTTGCACAGCTGAAAATCTATGCTGTACAATCGCTATAACTAATCATAACCCTCTCAGATAACCTAAGAAAATTTAATTTCAAGCAACCAGGTTTGAATTATTGCTACCTTAAAAGAACAATGAATAATCAAGATAAAGTTCTGGTTTTCTTGACATTAAACTAAATTCCTTTTATTTTATTTTCGCTTCTTTTTTTTTGTTTCTTCATATCATGAGGTGTGCAAATTATAATCGGCTGATTAATGATAATCAACCATATTGAGTTATTAACAGTCAAACCTTCGTATTGTGAATGACCTTAAATTTTTTACAAATACATATTTTACTTCTATGGTGGAAAACGATTACTAATCTCTTCAAATAGAACTCTAAAATCTTTCGGGAAAGGTTTTTCTTTTTCATAACTTTATATATTATATTAACCAATCTGATGGTTTTTCAAAGTGATTAGTGAACTTTTTAAACCTATCAGCGATGACTTAACATGTGTTCTGCTCTTATTTTTTCAGTAGGACAAAGAGTATATACATATAATAGATAAAAAATAAATGTGATTTCTCTCAGTCAATAATAATAATGATAGACTAATTAATAATTTGCCATGCAGTTTTCTAGTTACTTCTACAAGATTGTAATACTTGGTTTTATTACTAAGCACTTTGTGAAAGTATTTATTCCAGTGAAAAATCAAGTACTTAAAAATAAAGGTATTTCTAAAAAAAAGCAAGTACCGGTTTCATTCTTGGAGCGAAGTACTTGTCCCAAGTGCAACACAAAGAGTGTTTTGAGCTTATCTTTTAGAAGCCTAATCTTTACGCATGTAGGAAGTGAAGAGCGAAAGAGAAAGAAGTTAAATGATAAAATAATGAAAGTTTTGGACTTTTATACGCAAGAATCGGCAAGAACTTTGAAAAATAAAAAAAACGTCAGTCGAATTGAGAAATCAAAATTATTAGTCTGAAAATAAACGAAATCAAGAAGCAACAAACTAGCGTAGTAATCTAAGAAAAGTCCTCATCCTAGAAGAAGAGAAGTAAGTACACAATGCAGAAAAATAAAGTAAGTACATCAGTTTAGCAGCAAAATTCATGAGTGGCTGGTTGATAAATTTATCTAAAATGATAAAAAATAGAAGAAACAAAAGAAAACCTGAATATGACTGAGATATTGTGACGCGGATTTCAACCTAATAGAACGGTGCGATGAGAGAGAGA